GGTGGACCTAGGCCAAATGCTAGTCATCTTCGTCAAAGATCTGGTAAGTATTCTGCAGAATGGTGTCGACCACGCGGACCTGCCAGCCGGCATCCGAGATGTTGGAGCCGGGCGCCGTGCCCATGAGCGTCGGGCCGAACACGATTGCCAGGTTTTGGGAGCTCATCCTGTTGGTTGACGAGTTCTCTATGACCCGGTGCAGGTGCAGAGTGAGCGCGCGCAGGGTTGCGTAGTTGGGATCCGGCAGGCCATTGATGATGGCGTGCAGGGAGTCGCGGCGGACTGTGTCATCTTCGTTTTCTGCCATGTCCGGTTAGAAAGACTGGGCTTATCAGAGAGTTGAGAGCAGGACTCACTCGCTGCCTCAATGAAGGCAAGGTAGTTCTCCTTGGTCAGGAGAGGGTCCGGCAAATCCCGGAAAAACTGCTTCAACAGACCGGCAACACTATTGACGTCGTGGAAGAAATTCTCGGGGTTTCGGAAGTCAAGGTTGCTGGAACTCGAATCTGCAAGACGCATCAGTTGACACCACTAGATCACAAGAGAGCGATGAAGACGGTGTTGCGTACCTGTGTCAAACAGATTCTTGAGCTTGTTGACATGCGGCACAGAGCCAGAAAGCCGATAGATGCCCTCGACATTCAGGCCAAATAGGTCCACAGCTTGGATACACTGGTAAACAACCATTGGAACCGCCAAGCCGTCCCGCTCGTACAACCTAGACAGACTGATACCGAAGACCGGGCGGGGCGGGGCCATTTGTGGCGCCGCTGGCGGTGACTGCCTGCGAGCCTGCGATGGCGGATGTTGCAGGAGCGGGTTCGTCATGGGACCTCCTTGCTGTGGGGGTGGTTGTGTATAGGGTACTTGCTGAGGCTGCTGGGGTTGGCTGCTGGACTGGAAAGGTAGTGCGCCTAATTGCGGCGGTCCTTGAGGATTCCCAAAGGTGTATGACCCATTAAACCTCGTGTTGGAAACTTGGGATGGTTGTTGAGCGGCGCCTCGGTACTGCTGTCCGGTGGCGTCATTATGAGGCTGGTTCATCGCGCTGCTGTGACTGAGGCTCCTCTCATGCTGCGGTTGAGAGGATGGCCGGGGAGGACCGCCGAGGATGGGGATCGAGCTCGTGCTCTGGTTATAGTTATGCCCCAGCGTTCCCTGGTTCGGTGGGGACATGGGAAGATCGGAAAAGGTGCTAGACCTGGCGTTTGCATGAAACATTCCAGTCTGCGGTGGTGGGACGGGGTTTGGGCCTGGTGGCTGGGAAGCGCCCTGAGGAGCGTTGGCTGTCCCACGATTTGATGTGTCAAATACCTGAAAAGGGGTAAGAGTCACGCGAGTGAAAATTTGAATGCCAACGAGAGACATACTGGATTGCGCTCATACTTGGGTAGCGCCGTTCTTGGGGGCAGCTTGGAATGCTGGCTGCTCAAGTAGTCGTTGAGATCCTTGTCGTTGTCAATGCCGAGGACGCACTCTCGCAAACTCCTCGATTCGGCACCGTTCTTCAGGGGGCTGATACACAGGCCGTTGCTGAGAACGAGCTTCTCGTTGAAGGAAGCTGTGAGTATGGTCAGTATCTCCGGGCTCTCATGACCCAGGCGAGCTTACCAAACTTCTGCATCTGTAATGCCAACGCCGAGTCGCATTCCCTGACAAGGTCTTGCAGTGCTTGTACAGTCTCGGGTCTGATCCTGGTCTCGAGCTCACTCCGCTCGGTTGCTGCAACCTGTACCTTTCCCTGATAATCCTGGTCTGCCACCTGAGCCTTCCTGAGCAGGTCCTCCTCGTGCTGAGCGCCCGTCTTATGGCCCTTGAATCCAAACATTTTCCCGCCCTGGCGGCCGCTCGTGTCGCCTGTTCGAGCGCGATCGTACTCCTCAGCTAACGCATCGTACTTGGACTTTGACTTGCGCATCGCTGCCTCCAGTTCGGCCACGCGGTGTTCGGCGGCCAGCCCACTCTGCTTCCAGCCCTTTCTTGATTTCTCGGCCATGGCGGCCAGCTCTGTCAGGTCTTCGGACATCTGCTGCAGCGAGATCGCAAACTGTATCCCATTGTCGGCCATGCGTTCGTGCACGACCATCATCTCGTCGTATGCGGCGGCAAAGGTACCGGTTCGGTGCTCGCCGCGCTGCATATTCTCCTGCGACAGCCTGCAGAGCTTCTTGAGCGAGTTCGCGTGCTCATCCTCTAATATAGAACGCTTTCTGAGAAACTGGGCAAACTCCTGTCCTCAACAGCAATTAGCCTAGTCCTAACAGCATGAACGCTGTTCCAAAACCATTAGGAATATGTCATATGTATGTACAGACCTTCGCGGAGGCAATGCTCTGCTTTAATCGGTTGAGCATCACCACGATGCCAATCTAGCGGGAGACAAGTTAGTTTGCGCAAACATGGCAGACAGGCGGTCCGGACCGAGTGCGCACCTCCGATGTCAAGACATCTTGAACCTGCGCTTTTGTCTCGTAACTCGGCTCTGCCGCTGCCGGTGCCAGAGCTCCTGCCGGTGGTGGTGGTGGTGCTGCTGCCGTTGGAGTTGCGGCTTCCTTCTCGGGAACCGGCGCCGCTGTTTCTCCCGGTGACATGGCGGCTGAGAAACTGAAAGGACGGCTAAATTCAATGTCGGTCTGGCGATGGGGATGTTGTTGGGTGCTGTGTAGCCGTCAGGAACCTGGAAGTTCTCGGGCAGGTTCATTCAGGGTCAGGCATTGCTATGATGGCACGGTTAGGTCATCCCCTGTAAGGTAGGTGGCTCCAGGGTCTGCACGGCCCGTTTTCAGAGGAAGTGAACGAAAAATACACGACATTGATGGTGGGCATGAACGAATCTCTGGGAGAATACTGTAACTACGCGTACGGATACACGAACGTGGGGAATAGCTTTTGCTCGGTACCACATTAATACGCAATGCGGGAGGATTGCCACCAATGATATTGTATCCCGCTTCCGACATCGACGGGAACGAAAACCTGTCAAACATACCCCTGTGAGAATGTACTTTGGCGAGACAAGTCTCTGTCTGAGTAGCAAGGCCCAATGACCTCTGACTAGGTACAATGCGTTGTGTAAGTGATTTGCGAAACGCATTGAATATTTTCAAACGCGTTTGAGGTCAATTTACTAGTGCGTTACCGCTATTTATATCTGTTGGACCATGCTTAAGCGGGGAGACGAAAGCCGATCCAGTGGGGCCTAGCTGCGGCCCTCTCCTCCCTCTTCGCCTGATAGAGTGGGCGAGTCGAACCATGAACTTCTTCTCATACATTTACTACACAAACCCCTTCAATATCGCAGCTTCGGCATTCAAGATAGACGAGCCTGCAGCACCGATGACAGCTATCGCGGTATCAGCAATGCGATCAGAACATCACCAGTGCAGGAAGGGAACTTACTGTTGTGGCTTAGGGCGACGAACTTGATGTCGAAAATACCGCTCTCGTCCTCCCTAACACGCCCAACACTCACGGTGTAGCCATTCGACAAGTCGCGGTCGAGGCGAGGCTGCGGCCTATCAGGCTCGTCAAAAACTTTGATAGGCGGCTCAGGAGCTGACGGGCAGCCAAGTTTCTGGGCCTCGGAAACGTAGGTGCGCATGGCCTCCTTCACTTGCTCTGCCGTCGGCGGAGGGCGCTGGGCGAAGCGCAGCGATACGCATGCTGTGTGGCCATCCATCACGGGGACCCGGTTGCACGCTGCCGACACGCGCAGCGTCTTTTGCTCCTCGAAGGCGGTCGCATCAGCGTTGATGCTGCCCAGAATCTTCTGTGCTTCCGTCTCGAGCTTGTCCTCCTCCCCCTGAATAAAGGGTACCACGTTATCGATAATGTCCATGCTGCTCACGCCAGGATACCCTGCACCCGATACGGCCTGCATCGTCACTACCGAGACGGTATCGATCTTGCCGAAGCGCCCCTGTAGCGCGGCAAACGGGATAACCAGGCCGATGACGGCGCAGTTGCTGTTGCACACGAGGAAACCTTTCTGCAAGCCATGAATCTTGCGCTGATGCGGGATCAGGCTTAGATGGTCGAGGTTAACGGTGGGAACGACGAGCGGGACGAGTGGGTCGCGACGGTAGTTCTTCGCGTTGGAGAATACGGCCAGGTTCGCTTGTTGGAATTCCTTTTCAATCTCGCCGGCAACGTCGCTGTCGAGGCCGCTGAAGACGATGTCACAGTCGGCAAACTCGCTCGCCTTGCACTCACGCACCACCAGGTCTCCGACTTCTGGGGAGATTGGGTTCGACTGCTTCCATCTGACGGCGTCGCGGTACTTTTTGCCGGCCGATCGCGAAGAGGCGCCAACGGCCACGAGACGGAGGGATGGGTGCTGCTGGAGCAGTAGGATGAAGCGCTGGCCCACCGAGCCGGTGCAGCCCAAGACGCCTGTGAGAGAAGCATGGACGGTCAGTTATAGAATGGCTTGTGATGCTGGAAGTCTACGTACCGCAGTTTTTGGTGGGTAATTGAGGCATCGTAGAAGTTGATATGATCTGATGAATATGGAATTCACTTAGTATTCGGGATCAGAGTACTACCAAGGGGGTTATATCGAGAAACATGTGAGTCAATTTGCCCAATCCGACGCTCGGTGAATGAAGATTTCTGTTCGCCATTGGAGTCGATGCCCCGCCATGTCCCGCAATCGGAGGGGTCCAGTGGGGTTCGTCTCCCGCCCTGGCGGGATGGGGGCCACAAACCGTTACGTACGAAGTACACGTACGGTACAGTACATACAATACGCATCCATGTGCAGACATACGGGGTACTGTAAAATACATCTGTAGCGTAAGGCACCATAGGGCTGGCTATCTTCGCCAAAGGGTGTTTGTGACATGTCGACCCGAGAGTCGTATACCAACACTATCCCTATCAGAGTGACGACGGTATTCTGATTGGCTTTATTGAGTGCACAGGGAGCATACAATTGCAGCTCTGTTCTCAGGGATCATTTTCCTCACCCTAACTACATGTGTAATTACAGCACAATGCTGTTAGTTCTGCCCCTGGCCAAGAAAGCCAAGCTTTCAGCCCCGAGTTCATGACACCCTGAATTCGCTTGTTCTCCACCATTCCGTCTCCGACATTTTCGGCCCGTGGCGTCCGAGCGGTGAAGAAGGACGCAAGGAACACGATCAGTAACGGCCGCAATGTCTTCGCTGAAAATACCAGGGCATCTTGCACGACCGCTGGGAAGGAAAGGGCTCATGCCTTCCTTTGAATCCTGCATCTAACGTTATATGACTACCATACCGTGCAGTACGTATTTTTCACGCGATGTTGTTCTTTCATCCTTTGCTCAACCGTCCTCGTTCGAGTCCTGGACTCGGGCGACTCGGAGCCGTGTCCGGGAGGCTTTCCACAGGCGGCGCACTACCTAATCTCACCTGCATTGTGGCCCCCATGCGGCGCAGGGAATATGATTTGCGGCTGTTGTTCTTTTCATTATAAATATGACCAAGATGATGTGTCTCTTTTATTCGTAATGTTGCTCAGAGTTGGCCTGTCTCAACAATTCCCACAGCTCTCGGTGCTCTCATTGCTCGGGTCTGGCCTCCGCGGCGTGGGTAAGACAACCACTTACACTTCGCACTTGATCGCCAAGGAGAAGGCAATCCAGTCTTGAACCACGGTCTGCAAAGGCATGACTAACTCTCCGTACCTTACTTTAGACACCAAACACTCAACCCGCCGCCATGACGGTCCCGACCCCCGATGACCCCTGGAGTGTGGTGGACAAAGTCGGGCAGTCCCCTCCCGTCGACTGCACCAAGCCCTACAACACGTCGACGCTCGCAGGCAAGACCATCCTCATCACGGGCGGCGCCTCGGGCTTCGGCGCGGCCTTTGCCCGCCATTGGGCCCGCCACGGCGCTCACATCATCATCGGAGACGTCAACGACGCTGCCGGCGAGGCCCTGGTCGCCGAGCTGCGCTCCTCCTCCTCTTCCGCCTCCAAGCCGTCAACCGTTACCCAGCCGCAGCAGCAGCACTTCGCCTACCAGCATTGCAACGTGACCTCGTGGGCCGAGCAAGTCTCCCTCTTCCAAACCGCCCTGGCCGGCAGCCCCACGGGGTCCATCGACGCCGTGGTCGCCGGGGCGGGGGTGGCCGACCCGAACAGCAACTTCGACCGGCCTCGCCGCCTCGACCCAACAACAACTGCCGGCGGTGACCACCACCCCGCAGCACCGCCGGCACAACCCCCGCTGAACGTGCTGGCCGTCAACCTCACGGGGGTCATGTACACGGCGCACCTGGCGCTATGGTACCTGGCGCGCAACCCGCCGGGCCGCGACCGGCATCTGCTGCTGGTCAGCTCCATCGCGGGCGTGGCGCCGCTTCCGGGACAGGCCGAGTACACGGCGTCCAAGCACGGCGTCATGGGCCTGTTCCGGGCGCTGCGGGGCACGGCTTACGTCACGCGCTCCCTGCGCGTCAACGTGCTGAACCCGTACTTCGTTGACACACCGATTATCACTAAGGGCGCCCTGGCCCTGCTGGCCGGCGCGCCCATGGCTGAGTTGGACGATGTGGTGGATGCGGCCACTAGGTTGGTGGCTGACGAGGGGATTGTCGGCAGGGCGTTGATGATTGGGCCCAAGATGGACGTGGTTGATGAGGAAGTTGATGGGGAAGATGTAGGGGTTAGGCTGGCGAGAAGGGGTGAACACGGCCGGCGGCAGGCTGTGTGGGAGATTTATGGGCATGATTTTGAGAGAGTGGAGACGTTTGTTTGGCGGTATCTCAGCTTGATGAACACGGTGAAGGCGATCAACGGCTGGATTGGGTTCGTAAAGGATATATGGGGGATATATTTTGGTGGGCGGCGAAGGTAAAGGGGGCCGGATCGGAGTTGATATAGCTTTGGCTACATTGGGCATTCATACCTTACATACTACTAGAGTCAACATGAAATTAGTATTGTGTTTGAATGCGAATGACTTTGTTTCCTCACCTCGGCATCACGAAGAGCAGCAGCTTGGTGTTACAAGAGCGCCAATAGGTATGCTTGCATGCTGGCTCTACGAGTACTACTAGACAAATAATTACTGCTACACTACATGCATCCTTCTAGCGTCTCCAAGGACACCTGCTAGACATCCACGACATCTTACCTATGTCTGGGTAAGACCGCTGGCACCCCTGTCCGTTGAATAGCGAAGGCGGCGAAAGTCAACGAGGTGATTCGAGCATTAAAGTATTCATGTGCTTGAGACTGAGCACATGACTATTTACTTCTCCTAGTTCCCCGGGTGCCTGTAGACACGTGCCCATTCGCCACCTACTTACCTACTCAGTTCCTAAAGCAAGATACATCGGCCCTTCTCCTTGCTTCTGTAACCACTCTGTTAACCACTGTGATGGCCTGTTACTACTGTACTAGTACTTACACATACCTTTCCTTCTAGACGCTTGTCCTCCATCCTGACATGGAGCTCGACACTTGGCGGTTGATCTATGACGACATCAACTCGACAGCCGTCGTTTCCCTTCCCGTACATAGGTATCTTCATAATATTAGTTGGTAGGTATTTTACTGTTTCCAAGTCTTCCTTGCTGCCTGTTGCTTGAGGTTGAACGCCATAAATCCGGATGCGGGGAAATGAAGTCGACGGACAGAAATGAACTTGCTCTCCGCAACTCACGCGTATTGAATTTACAGGGTCTCTCGAAGCTTACCGTAACGCTGGGTAGCTGAGCCAGAGGATTGCAGCGGCGTTTGTCTCACTTGTGCTCCCCGCCCGTTATCTGCGGGCTGGCCACTACCCCTTTCCCCGCACCGCCTAACTAGAGGCTCCGGCCGACCGCTCGTTTCCTGTCCGCATGTTGGCCGGGAGTGAACACCTAGGTAAGGTAGCCAACGGACCTGGTGCTCCTTTCGTACATACACGGCGGGCAGGCAGTAGTAGATTGTGTGTGGAGGGTCAAGTCAGGAGGCGGACCAACATGGTGAATGTTGGCTCCCAATCTGAGCTCTGCAGATTGCTGATCGCTTCCTTGGCAACTGCGAGGGAGCAGTACCCGGCGACTCGAGGCTGGAAACGTCTCGAAGGTAGGGTACGTATACGCAGCTGTCTATGCAAGCATACCGATCTGGAAATCAAACGCTCATGTAGAGCTGGTGTGGTGCGTGAAACGAGATACGGCGGGATCGGACGAAACAGTTATTTTTTTCAAAAAGCCATCTGCATCTCGTGCGAACGGGCAGCCGCGGCTCGGCGCCTTGGAGATGGCAGCTGGTGTGGCATTGCTCTTGCTTGCGCTTCAGGGGTCTCAAAAGTCCAGTATTTCGAACGGCTATGCAGGTTGATAACTGCCGAGTCTAATAGGAAAGAGATGTTCCGGGAGCCGGGCGCCGTGAATTGATAAAGGGGCATTGTACGAAGATAGTGTATATACGTAACGTACACACGTACAAAAAAGCGGTCCACGGGTTCGCGGTTCGGAGCGGGACCCGAACGTCTGCGTCCAATGACAGTATCACTAGGATAATAAAGTGCAAGGCATCTTCTCCCCTCGACCGACAGCGCGTGACTGAGAGGAGACGTTGGGTCTGGAATGAAACAACATATGCAGCCTCGATAGAGCATCTCTCCTAGTGTAGTACCTATACAAAGGTAAGCAAACCGGACGACGAAACATCGGCCATCGTCAGCTTTACTTGGACCATGCGAGCGGATTGAGTTATCGATATGTGCTGTGGTAGGTAGATGACTGATAGTGCTGAGGTGTTCTGGTTGATTGGGCCCGGAATAAGGCATGGCTTCGAATCCCAGCATTATCTTTGGCTATAAGAGTTGAACAGGAGAAGAGTGTCAGGGCAATTGCCTGGAGCAGCCAATCCCAGGGCTGATGTCCACCACACCGCTCGTCAGCCCGCGGTTTGATTTCCACCTGTAGCCGGTGTTGGCCGACAGTGTGTAGCGATGCGGCTCGTAACCATGAGTCGACTGGAGCTGAAATTTCGACAATACCTCGGCCGGTGGGACACAGCGATAATGATTCGGAGGGGGCTCCGCCTTGACTTCTCATCAGTTGGCATCGAGGCTCCCGCGTGCTCGGAGGTCGCAGACGCCGGACCCGGCTTGTTTCAGGACTAGATCCGGAAACGCATCCCGGGACTGACAAGATAACCTAAACTCCGAATTCCTTTGGTGGTTCTTGTACCACCAAGATCATTGGCGCCTCGCTGCTGGCTTCCGTTTCGTTTCCGCTCGAACTCGGCGCTAGAACGGTGCTTGCATGTCGACAGCGGTCAAGCTGTCAATATCAATGCCGTAGATCACTCTAGAGTGCGATTGAAGGCCCGCTGCCTTTTAAATTCGGTATGGTTCATGGAGCCAGAACTTTCAGCGATCCAGGAGGGGTAAGGCAGCCGTTCAGCGACAAGCCAACAGTCGCAAAGTTGGATGGGTATAAAACGGGAGCTAGCGAAATGGTTAGCGGTCGCCGCGATTCGTCAGCCTGATGGAGGGTTGCTTCCCACTTATAAACTGAACGAAAGCGGTCAATTTGCCCGATGGTTGCGGGCAAGCCGCGTTTCCTGGCTCGCGCTAAGTTGCCCTTCTCTTTCGTGCCACAAACGCCAATATGCTGACGGTGGGCATTGAAGCGAAAGTCAACCCAGCGACCTCACTGCTTCACTCAAGAGTCCATCGTAAGGCAAGAAGTATGTACGGAGTACTGTACAGTACTCTGGTCGCATCTCAGACCCCCACGCAGCCGAGACGAAGCGGCCACTCACAGTGGCATGGGGACGCTGACCTTTTGTTCTCCTCTTGTTTCCATACCTATACGTAGTCGCCCCGTGTCCATGTCCATGGGACTCATCAGTGGGGTCGGTAATCACATTTCTGGCAACCAAAGGCACAATAAAGTCGTCCAGGGTCCTTCGTGAGAATCTGGACAAGGTGAATCCTGACAGTGGCTGCAGTTTCTCCCCAAAGCCAATAGCAGCCAGCAGCAGGGCACCAAATCTCACAGCCGGATGCAGCCGGTGATTTCCCCCACCTTATGCGGGCTTCAGAAAAATCGTGCCGTTGGGCCCCGGTATTACACACCCAGAATGCTTTGGCCCCTCACCGGTCATCCTATCCAAGCTTCGTCGAACCCACCATCTTTTCCTCGCGGCGAGTGAAACAGGCAACAGCAGCTTGCTCGGTAGAAGACCGCATGTTTCTTGCGTGCGATGATTATCGTGGTTATTGGCGGGAAATCGTGACCTCTAACCAGAACATGGCCCTCGCGTCATTGAGGAGGAATGTGGTGTTCTTATTTCTGCAGCCTCTCACCGGCTGTCCCGATCTGATCAAGCTGTGGCCTTTCTGCGGCCCTCTCACCGGCTGTCCTGAACTGAATTCTGATTAAAATGTGTCGTGCATAAGGACCAGCTTGGACTGCAAGTCTCGATGGTACCGTATCGCGTTGAGAGCTTTACCTCCTGCTGATGCATATCATAGGTAGAATACCGACCGATGGATTGGGCCTGTGCCTGTTGGAAATCATCTGGGGCGGATCATCGACGCGGCGCTTGTACCCAGTCATTGGTCCGAATCTCATCTTCGAGGAAAGCTGCGGCTCCTGCTTTTGTAAGACATACCTCATCCGGCGGGAGGGGCCATAGCTATCGCGAAATGTGGTCCAAGCAGGTCAGCGCGTGTTGTGGTATCTCATTGCGCAGTACCGTGAACGAGCCTCGAGGCACCCATTGCTCGCTGGACGGGCTAGATCCCTTGATAGCACTCCAGATTTTTGCAAGGTGTCCGAATCAACCAGATCTCTGCACTGTGTACGAAGTAGTACAGGTACCTGAGTAATGGTACGCCCTGTTCTTCGTTCAGCAGTCAATTGAGCATACAGCGCCATACCGTAGTAATGGCCGTCGCTGGAGCGTATGCTGGTCCTTTCGCGTGAGTCTGGAAATTGAACGGCGGTTTCGTTTTAACATGCCTTGTGGGCATGAACCATGTGAGGAGCTGGTGCAGAATGCAATGTTGTACCTACACCAAGTTGTAGGGTAATCATCGCGTCTGCGCGTGAAAGCTGTTGGTGACGGGAGAAAAGTGTGGGACGGTGTTTTTGACCTGCAGCTTGCGGGTTGCAGCCAAAGATGGCCCCGCAACACCCAGACTTTGCCCTTTTTTGGGCGCCAATACGCGTCCAGCTTTGGGTTGGTTACTGAGTTTAGCGTGCCTGCAAGCTCTGTCAAGGGCTTTGGAGGGAAGTGTCCGTTATTAAGGCACTCGCCAGGTGAATGTGGAAGGAGTTGGCGGTCCTTGGGAGTTCCTGACCTCGTTTCCATGCCGGGGCTTGCCGCCTCCCGGCAGTTAGCTGAAGTTACTTCGTACAGGGCAGTTCCAAACGTGAAGTGCATCGTTACGGAATTGGCTTAAAACGGCGATCTCCTTTCAAAGTAGGACGCAGAATAGTATGCGCACCCCGAGGCGCACCACACTGCAGCAGCGGAAAGATTGGGTAGTATTGCACAAATTGCCTCAGACAACGACCGTCAGTAGCATCGCTTGATAGCCACAGCGAGGTACGGTACCCTGACGGGCCTGGCTCTCAGACCAATTCGTTTGCATCTCTGAAGCGATGGTGCTTCCATCCCATCTACTAAGTAGACTCGGCCAAACCTTGTTTAAGCGCAATTGACGACGAGCCACATGGTGCCCCGTCTCGCAGTCCGGGAGAATTGTGAATGTTGGTGAAGTTATCCAAGCTGCCACACACTCTTTAACGATGGTAACGTACGAAGTCGAAGGTACAGTACAGTACAGTACATACAACTCCGCCGACCTCCACAAAGACAAGAGAAAAAGGGCTGATAACTGAGAGTCCCTTGTCCCGGTCGTTCCAAAAGTTTCCCTTTTTTTCCCCCTCCAATGCTCACGCCCCACTTTGCTGCCGAGTCTTGTGTTTTCGAATGGCACTCGCAGCCGCTGTCGTTCAAGCCTCGCTCCTCTACGACCCTGGTCACATCGTCAACGCACCATTCCCCTCCCGCATCGCCGGCTTCACATAAGCTTATCGAATCGAAGCTGTTTGCAGAGTTAGAGATACTACTAGTAGTAGTACAGTTATATAATCGCTTACATTTGACAAGTAATAGATAGTTAGTACTTAGTAGCACCTGCCTTTGGTATGTGCGTACAGTATTTCCATGGTATCCATACTGTATGTTTGTAAGCGGACCCAAGGCAGCCAGGACGGGGCTAGTGTAACTCAGTTATCCATCCTGCCCCCAGAGCCACAAAGTCGTTCGCTCTCCCGTCGATCAAGCACGAAGTCCCGGGCCCTGTCCTCAGTGTCCTGTCCCTCTGCGCCGCTGCGACAGACAGAAGCTCCTTCCTGCTCAAAGCTTTCCACCCTATCTCACACCACTCTTTTCTCCAAACCCCAACCTTTTTTTTCCCTCCCAAGTCGTCGTTCTCGTTGCGCTGGTTGTAGTCCGTGCCTGCCTGCCACTTACACACCTCCACCCGCCTTCTTATTACGAGCCGCCCCTCGTCATTTTCCTTATTTTTTTCGGCTCGGTATTTTATTTCTCTGTTGTCGCGATCTAGACCAAGAAATCAGCGACAGCATACCACAGCCGAAACTTACACATCCCGGTGCACCTGGCCCCTTATCGCCGGCGGTACCTGACAGCTTTTCTCCACCAGTTGTCGCCGCACGCGCTGCGCGTTTCCACTCGTTCTCACTCTTTCGATCAGCGCGATCGTCACTCAATCGTCCCCATCATCGCGCGGCGCTGCATGCATCGCGAGGCATGAACGGGGATCATAACCAGTCCAGTGCATCATCTGGCGCGCCCGCCAACGCTTTCGTGCCTCTGACGTCGAGCCGCGCAAGCCCATTCCCCGCGACCACCGTCGCGACAAAGAATGCAATGGCTGTACCGGCCTTTCTCCCGCCTGCGCCTTCTTATCGGACGCCTGTGACTGCTCCATCAATTTATACTCGGTCGTTCCCGACCGCCAATTCTTTCGATCGCGACGCGCAAAAGCAGCCTCCCAATGGATTCTCCACGACCCCTCCCACCCTTTCGTCGGCGCTGATCCGGAACCTCCCCCTCAACACTTCGGAGGAGTCACTGCGCTTGATGATGGTTTTCTCCAAAGACCTTGTCGAGGTCGAGGTTCTACCCGTCGAGCAGTCTGGAGACGCAGGTTTCCGATCTGCTATTCTCAGGTTCAAAAGCCCAGCCGGCGCGCAGGAAGCAAAGAACATGCTCGATGGCAAATCCAACATTTCTAACGACGCCGAGATGATTGTCGAGATCCTGGGCTCGACGAGTCCCACTTCCCTGGGCAAGAAATACGCGAATGACGCTATGATCCCTGCGGGCACATCGTCTGCGGCCCCGCCTGCGACCTCCTCGGCAGCTCCGTCGGCTCCGTCGTCGAGGCACACATCGCGATTCAATGGAACATTTCAATCGCTCGAAAAGATGGCATCCCCGTTGAATACCATGTATGGAGATGCCCAAGTCCATGAAACAAACACGCACTATCAAAATATCTTTTCTCCCCAGTCGCCAATCGGGAACCATCTCGCAAACTCCACCCAGGTCACCGGCAAATCGTTAATAGACTCAGCCGAGGACGACGAGACCAAGGAACTCTTGAAGGACCCCGTTGGGTTTGCTGAATTTGCCGAGAATGGCCTGCAGCGCCGCCAGACGGCCCCGCAAATCCCAATCACTCGCATGGCAGGCCTCTCGCTGAACACGAATCCAACGACGGGCCATGTTCCAGTAACTCACTATGGCCACCCAGGGATGGGCAGTTTACCAGGGCTCTCTAATACCATGTCCCCTACGTTGATGTCGGGCCCCGGCATGGTATACAACCCTTCGTTCCGAACAAGCAACTTCCCCCCTGCCAATCCGGCCGATCAGAACCCGCCATGCAATACGCTCTATGTCGGCAATCTTCCTGTTGATACCTCGGAAGAAGAGCTCAAGGCACTGTTCTCGAAGCAACGGGGCTACAAACGGCTTTGTTTCAGGACTAAACAGAACGGGCCCATGTGCTTTGTTGAGTTCGAGGACGTGTCGTTTGCCACCAAGGCATTGAACGATCTCTATGGCCACCTGCTCCATAACAGCGTCAAAGGCGGCATCCGTCTGAGTTTCTCCAAGAACCCGCTCGGCGTCCGATCCGGCCAGACCTCTGGTCAGAGTGCCGCTGGAGCCATGGGCGGCATGAACGGAATGCATCTCGGGTCTACTAGTGGCTTTACTACAGCTAGCGGCCCTCCGCCGGGACTTTCAGCGCCGCCTGGTCTCGGCATGAATCGAGCGGGATACACTGGATCGCCCGGGCGAGGCCTTGGCCCGAACGGCATGTACAGTTCTCCCACCTCCACAGTCGGGCCGAGCAACCCGTGGGGAGGCGCGTACAACGGCATCGGCCACGGACCCATGATGGCCGGCGCTGCCTCGGCCTATCCTCCGCATATGATGGGGAAATAGCCGTCGTCCACTTAATCCCATAGGGCGAGCTCTGCTCCTGTTTTGCGCGGCGTTGGTGGATTCATGAGGGGCGTTGGGGTGATATCCATTTTCTCTAGTTTGTTTCTTTGCTCAACAAGCCATTCGGACGGCCGTTCATTGTGACTGGCTCCAGCTGTTCGGAGGTCTCACACCTCAGCGCCAGGTTTTGATCCGAACTGGGCAATCAGGACCGAACGTTGACCGGCCATTGCTTGCTTGCATGGCATTCCGCGGGCATTCATGACACTGCACTCATAGGCGCTTGGTCTGAGATCAGGATCTCTCTGTCTTGACATGGAACGATTCCCCCCTTTCGCGATGTTTCGTTGGCTTCGTTGCATTTTGTTGGTTGTTTTTGCTGGTTCATTTTCGGGCCGGAGCATCAGAGTCATAGAGGATTGCTTTCATCATCCCTTTTTGGGCATTGGGAGAGAAGAGTAACTCTTGGCTTCTTTTTTTCCGGGGACTCTTACACCTCTCAAGGCGATTGCCTCGCGGCTCTTGACCTCGGGTCCTACACGCACACACGCAACTCACATACGTACATCAGTCATGGCAAGCAGGGCGCAGGTCAAGGGAGGCCGAAAAAAGGAGGGGAAGAATATTGCCGATTTATGTGGCCACACGGCGTTGCGATCAGGTTTATCATCATCCCAGAAGGCACTCGAGCATTCAACGATTACGGATCTTCGTGTATGTCCGGGGAACGGGACCCGGGAGGAGTTCAGGCAAAGGTCGGCATGGTTTTACAACATGACCGGAGGGACAAATGGGTGGGTGGGAGTGGAGTTCTTAATCTTTTCCGTGCTTTTGCAAGCAGATTCGAACAAAACAAAGCAAGCGAACAGTTATGAGATCTGAATCCTTAGCGTATCGCGCCGTTTCCCTAGCTCTCGGTGCGTAACGTCGGGTTAGTCTCTGTACGACGGACGAAGCGAACGAATTCCCACCATCCCCGGTTTCATTATTAATGGCGTGCACGGTTCCGAGGTGAAATGGTGTATGGGTTTACTGAATCTCCTTTTCCGATACAAGCGCAAATGGCAAAGAGAAACAAAATCAAAAGGAAGAACGCGGCTTATGGATACCATCATCGCAAGAGCCAAACAGCTGCACATCTGGGACGGGATACCGACAAAAGACTTGGGAAGGGAGGGAGGATTTGATGTAGCACTTACATGAGCTAAACGGATTTGCATGGAGGGTTCATTTCATTGCTGGTTTGATCTGGGTCGGCGGTTTTCTCACCTTTTGGTTCGGTTCCCCCTTTATTCTTTCAGCATTCGAGGGCCAGTTCGCTGGTCTCTCCTTTTATTTTCTTTCCCTTCTCAATCCCCCTTTTCAGTTTGAAGGGGACCCCTTGATATTTGGTATGCCCCATTTTATTCTTTTATTCTTCCCCAACATTGGCGCGATGGGGTGTTGCTGCGAACGGCAGAGGTGGGCTGAGAAGACCCGCAGGCTTTTTTCAGCTGCTGCGCCAGGAGCGGTAATGTTTTGGTGGCATGTAGCATGGGCGCTATGCTTTGAGGGCTTCATGTCATGGCAATGGTGTTTCTTGGTCGGTTGATGGGTTTCATTCATGCGTTGAGGTACGATAGCTGCGATATCTTTTTGCTTCACCCATATAGAGCAGGTCATTTTGAGGGCAATATACCTGGACGGGTTGCGGATTTGATCTCGCTTCTTCTGTGGGGGCTACCGATCACTTACCGGAAATCGATTATGTGCTGTCGACGTGTGTTGGATGCCGCTATCGCTTGGGTACTTGAAGGTTCCCTATGGTATCCCACACTCTTGTTTCTCGCCGTATGAGGCTGTAGATCAAAGGCTCGTCTACATCGACAACCTTCCATTGATGCCAGCAACAAGACCGAACAAGATAGATCACCATCACAGCGCCTGAGTATCGTAGTTACCACCAGCTTGCATCGCCCAGCCCATCGTCATGGCCGCCCAGAAGTCATTCTGCACATCGGCAGCATCTAATCCGTCCAGGCCTAGCCCTTCGACTGCTTCCCCGCTCCCTCCCGGCCGTCCGCCGGCAGATATCGAACTCCCGCCGAGGTTGCTGGCAAATGTCTCGTCCCAGTATGGGTAATATGGCTCCAGACTGCCGTCCATCATGGGACACCCTTGGTACAAGCTTGAAAGTCTCCCGCCGGGCGCCTCAGCAGGAGGAATAGTCGAGAAACCCGAATGCAGGTCCATGGCGGACTGAGCTTGTTGCTCCTCTAACCTTGCCAGCCGCCTCAGATACTTCTTCTTGACCATGTCTAGCACAATCTTCATGGCGCTGAGCAGATCCATGCTAGTCCTCTGCCCACCAACTCCCCCACCTCCTCTCCCTTCACTGCCATCACTGCCCTTACTGCTCCGACCACTACTACTAGTACCCAAACCAGCCGGCGCCGCACCACCGTCGCCCATCCCAGCCAGCCGATCAAGGTACTCCCCGAACCCGACCAAGCCTCGCGCGGCACGGTCGTCCCAGCCCGGATAATCCGCCAGGGGGAACGACATGCGAAAGCCCAGGATGACGGAGAGGATCAGGGCGGCCCACTCGATGCCGATAAAGGCGTTGAGCTCGGCTGTTGGAAGGGACAGGAAGTACTCGTACAGCGCGTGCAGGCGGGGGATGGCCGAGAGGATGCGGGCGTGGTCCGAGGAGGCAGCACCGTGACCGTGAGCGTGACCGTGCGGGTCCGTACTACCAGTAGTAGTAGTAGTTGGCGGTGGTGGTGGCTGTGGCCGCTTGGGCTTGGTCGAGGGGAGTTTGAGCAGCGGTGCGCTTGGGAGGAACATGCGTGTGAAGAGGATGGAGATGCGTGCGGATGCTGAGAGGTGGTTTGGTTAGGGGAGTCTTCTGGCATTGGGGGGAGTGTGTTGTACTGTACATACGGGTAGCTGCGATCTCGGGGGGCATCCGGGTTTCATACTCGGCCAGCTCAGTCTCCATGCCCCGGATCATCAGGCTGATTTGGTACTCGCTTTGTGAATGGCCGCGTTGTATCCGGCAGAGGGTGTTTGCCTCTTCTACGAATCGCTGGAGGCGGACCTGCCGAACTAATGTTTGATCGCCCCTGAGCTTGCTGTGTGCCTCGAGCAAGTCGCAGCACCTGGCTGTGTACTCGGTGTAGGTGAGTGAGGGGGTGCGGTTCCAGATGGCGCTATTTCTGGTGAACGAGTCAGCATAAGGAAGACTGGGAACTAGTAACGGACATGGCATACGAGGATGAGAGGTAATAGCTTCCCAGGTACAGCCTGATCTGCTCAAGCCGTTCTGGCGCAGGGGGCACATTCATAGAATAGATACCGGGATCTTGATCCAGCTCTAAGTCCGAGACAATGTCGACGACCATGCGCAGGTACTGGAACGCCTGCTTGCTTTTGGGTCTGAGGTGGAACGGGTACCTGTCGAGGTCAGTTTGTGTCTATAAGCTCGTAAAAGAAACGAGTGCTTTAGAGAGATCTTGGCCGAGCCGGGTACTCCAAGGGTCGCGATGAGAAGCGAGGAAAAGCGTCGTCCACTCACCAAGCAATGTAAACAAGCAGCCCCTGAAGCAACTCCAAACTCCTCTCGCCCCCCGCCACAAACTTGAGCCCCAAAATCTTCCTAAACTCCTCGTCATACAAGCTGTGCCCCTGCAGGGTCCGGCTTCCACTCGCGGCCGCGAGAATGGCCAGCAACACAAAGGGCTTTTCCTTAGCCATGCTAGTCACCGTGGCCGCCTCAGAAACCTCGACGCAATGGAAATGGCCCAGCATGACTTTGCGAAAGGTCGCCAACAGCTTACTAGCCGAGTCGAGGTTGAATCGCGGCTGGATGCCCAGACTGGTCGCCAGCGTCCTTGGCTTGGTGCTTGTGGTGGTCTTGCCGCCCTGCTCCTGAGTCTGAGCCTGAGTCTGCGGGAGGGCGGTACTAGTACTAGTAGTGGTGGTGCTGCTGGGCGGGGTGGGCCACTCGCGCGGGCCCTGGTCCATGTTCATGTCCATACCCTGCGCTCCAAAGTCGTTGGCGTCGTAGTAATACTCGTCACCATGATCGTCACCCCCAGACATTAGTGGCGCTAGCTGGTCGATGGCATCCTCGTGGGCCAGGCGAAGTGCCTCGAGGTGGTCGACCACGTCGTCGTCGTCGTTGGGTGGCATGGGTATGTCGATTGTGAAGGTTTTGGAGGGTCCCGGTGGCGGGGGAGGGTGAGAAGCGGTGGCTTGTGTGTCGGAGGGAGCAGAGGAGGCGGCTGCTATGTCTTCTGGTCTTTGGGGGGGACGGCGCAGAGGATCAGTTTAGGAGGAGGCTCATAAGAGGGAAGGGTGTTGAGGACACTTGGTCAATGAAAGACAAAGGAGGTAGTAGGCAATTGTCTTACCGCTTGGGCTGCCTAGGCCGACGTGTTCGAGGGCCAGTCCTGAAGACACACTCTCGTTTGGAACCAAGGCACCTGATAAGTTGTACCAAAATCAGCAAGGGAGGAAAACGATGAGATGTGGAGGACGGCATGGAAAGGGAATTGCTTGGGCTCGTGTATTCGGTGGGGCAGATAAAAACAAATACAGTAACGAGGTGTTGAAGGAGGATCGGGCCGTGGTCTGGCCTACAGCCTAACGTTACCTACCTCCTGCATATCCCAAGCTGGTTGCTGGCCTGGCACTTGACCTTAGCGGACCGACAGGCCTCGCATGCGTTGTTATTGCGAGGGCCTAAGATTGCCCTACTCGAGTTCTCTGCCGTCTCCATGCTCGAGACTGGTCTGTTGGAGGCTTAGTGAACACAAAGTGGCCCAACTTCAAGACGAGCTTGAAGCGATCAGCTGAGCTAGCTAAGGTAACGTGCGAACTGTGTCGTTTGGAATCAGGGTTCCTTGTGGAACTCCGGCCAAGGTCGGGATCAATCTGAACAACTGCTGGTGGAACGTCGTAAGGTTTCGGTGTTAACTTCCGATGACAATCGGCGGTTGAAAAGGGGCTTGGTGGAGCCAAGACCGAGTGAGGTCGGACTCGTGGGTTCCGGGTCGCGGAGGAGTGGAGTGAGAAAGTCTTGGCCTCCGAAGCGCTCCGGAGTATAAGGTGGATCCATCTCCAATGGACCGAAACGCGGGGATTGATGCATTGTTCCCGTAATCCAACTGAAATCATTGGACTTCAGGGGCTGCGATGGAATATCACTTTTTTAATCAGAATTGACCTCCCAATCGACCGTGTCTCTCAGCACCATTAGCTGATGGCTGCTCTCCAAAGAGCTCAACGCAATGCTAAGTGCTAACCAAGAAAAGGAACAGTGTAGAGTTAGTATACAGCACCATTGCTTTCCTCCCGGCCCATCACAAAGTTAGACGCATCTCCGTTACAGACAAGACAGAATAATCAATTCTGCTCCACCGCCCTCTTCTACATCTTGAGGATAAGGTAGGTGATGACACCGGATGCCCGCCTGTCATCTTAGCTCAAATCCACCACCATCACCGCCTCCTCGGCACACCTAACCACCTCACAAAGCGCCCTCATGAGCACAGTATCAGCCGCGTTGTCCTCTTTTCGTCCCTGTCCCTGCGCCTCCAAGTCCACCCGGCCGCCCCCGATGGGAGCCCCCCTCCTGAGCGTGGCAACCAACAAGGCAATACACCTCGCCAGCCCGGCCTGGACCTCCCGCATCGTGGCCGAGGCATCCGCGCCGCCATTCCCGTTGCCGCTTCCGCTTCCGCTTCCGCGTCGGCTATGGCTGTGGTTGTGGCTGGTTCCCTTGGCCGGTGAGCGACTCGGCGCTCGAGTGAGCATCGGTCGGCGGCGGTGGCCGTCGTTGCTCTGGCGGCTGGTGGCCTTGGTTGCGGGACCGGCATCCTCCATGCCCAATACGCTGGCTGCCTTGTCAGGGATTCTTATGTTGTCACGGTTGTGGCCGTCTACTGGAGCGCCGCGGTTGCTATGCTGATACTGATGCTGTCGGTAATGCTGATGGCTTTGTGGAGGGGCGGGTGGACACAGAGAGGTGATGTAGTTGTAGGCTACAAGGTGGGCGAAAAGGGCGTCGCAAAGGTAGTCGGATGCGGCGGGGAAGACGTTCTTGATGGGCGCCCAGCTTGGCATTGCTGCGGTTCGGTTGGCCAAGCTCAATGTTGATATGTTGTTGGCGTTTTGTGGGCTTCTTGGAGCGTATTGAGAATGATGCTGAGACTGGTGTTGGTGCTGCCTCAGCCAGGCCAGGTTCCAGCGCTTGGTTTGTTTTGCATTGCTTGAAATGGATGATAGAGAAGATGATCTGTCATGGTGGCTTCGAAGATGATGATCTAGGTCGGCTCGGTGCTTGAGTTTCTTGGAGTAGCTGCGGATTGTCTCGATCGAGAAGCTTGAGGATAGGAGCATCGTCTCCGGAAAGCAGGAGATCGATACTTGCAGGCTCTCTACCACTTCAGGAGGCAACGGTATGCCTGGCATCGACGTATTCGGCAGATATGGCAGGGTGTTCTGTGCCAAAGCCGGCGTTTCAGCCCTCTCATCGATCCACTGACCCAAGTTAGTCGGTTTTCGCATCGGGGAGAGCGCATGCTGTTCGGGGTCGAGTCTCTCGCCGCTGTGCATCGCTAGAGGAGCGGAGGGTGCATGGATGTGCCGAACCATCTTGTCTTTACCGACCGGGCTTATCAAAGATTGCCCAGCTACGTTGACGACACTTCTACCACTGAATTTTGTTCGTAGAAATCGTTCATGATGTGGAGCTTGGCCTGATATCGGAGGTGAATTGACCGCTGTTGTATCCTGAAGATCGGACGTCGAGTGAGCTGATCCCTCAACGTGACGGTCTCTTCCCGTGAAGGCTTGTTCATGGGTCGCTGGCACTGATGGCGGGATGTTGATAATACGCGGCTTCTCCAGGCGCACCTGGTTGGGCGACGTGTGTGGTTGCAAGTCATCGCCGTAGCGAGCAACAGGAAAATGCAAGGCGGTGGTGGTGCGCGCCCTGGATATTTCACTAGCAGTGTCCGGCGAAGAGTCTGAGGAGTCGTTACCGCCGCCATCCAGCCCAGGATGAGGAAGAGCAGACATCGAACAACTGTAGCGAATTCCTGAGCCAAGCTCGGCTTGCCGAGAATCAACCCGGGCCCCGTACCAGGCCCTAGGCCTAACGCTGTCCATTTTCGGCGAGGATGGCGAGGGTGGCTTTTGCGAAGAAAGGGAAGAGCAGCGGCCGGAAACGGACGTTGCCTCCGTTATAATAGACCGCCCCCTGGTTCGGATCGAAGCGGGTTCCATTCCCGCAGACGCAAGACTGGACGAGTCTGAGAGTTCCCCTTGTACTCTTGGGCGCGTGTCATGACGGCGCAGCATATCCAAGTCCATCCCGGCTTTCAGAATCGGTTGTGTCCGAAGCTGGTCGACTGAGTGCTGGGGTCGGCGGCCGGCTTGTTCTGGAACCGCCGGTTCTCGGAAACCCGGCCGTTCATTCATATGGAAACAGGACTGAAGAAGGAAGGAAAGTCAGACGGTCAATGCCTGTGATACAGCAATCACTTCGAAAAGCCTAGAGATCGCTCATAGGCAACTCAAGCTGATTGCAATTAGCCATAGACCCTCCGAGCTCCTTGAGGTGAACTCGGCAAGGCAGCTTGGAGCGGTAGCAGTGATTGACTGAGCAGATGAGAATAACATGAATGGTAACAAGTCCCTCACACCAAGAAGTAATCGCAAAGGCTTGTCGTATCGACTGTGCAGATCTCCTGGCTTGTGGGACTCCAGACTCGGGTTCCCGCATCGGCGGCCGATGGTGTCGGTAAGGAGTTTTCGTCGACTGGGACGGTGTCTAAGGGGTCAGCCAGTGCCTCCTTAGAGGGTGGGAAGACGGGTCGTTGAGTCTGTTCGTTCCCTTCTGGGCGAGAATAGGCAATTCATGGCATATAATAGGTTCCACATTGTAACACCTCAGTGGGTTGGTGTTGCTCATCGGAAGCGATGGTGTCGCGAGTGACCCCAGTGTTAGCGCATTCGAGGAAGAACATGAGCACAGATTGGCGAAAATGACCGGATATGCTATGACACCGAAAAGCAACATCGACAAAGTCATATCTTCCCAGGACGTGTGTGTCTGCGTCGTGCGGCACCCGGTGCTGGCGCATGCAACCGACGAGTACTACATGCTGCACGGGAACAGGGCCACTGCAGCTGTGAATGCGCCAGAGCTGCTTTTGGTGAACAGTCTCGAATTGAGTAGGCAAGCGATGAGAAGCGGGTAAGTGCATTACGCACCGAGGAAAGCGTGATGATATTGAACGGCCAAATCGGGGGCGGGAGGCGTTCCGACGGCCGTGCGGTTGAAACTTTCAAGAGCCAAACAGACCTCTCTTGTCCTGAATCTGTTTTGCTCTGACGCTGGCGACATCCATCTGCCTTTAATAGTATCGACCTCCCTCTCCACGTCCCTACGGATCTGGAATCTTGAATCTTGCATCGCGCTTGCATTGCGTTAGACAACACGCAATGGTCTGCGTCGGTGACACGATACACGAGATACGCCAACCGGCAATGATCTTCGGTCATGCCGTCCCCTAATTTACCACGCAAGCGCGTGCCTGGTTGTGTCGGGTAGGTACCTAGTATCCACAGTAAATCTTTCGGGAACGTGCTTGCCTTACTCACTACATAGGCTGCCCATTCCATTGGACATTCCAATTCCCAAAGACTCAGAAACAGTTTCGTACCGCATTGAGCAAGCCAGACAGGAAGTCGTGAGTGGAGTTAGTGGATCGGGATGTTCCTGCCAAGGTTCCCTTGCAGTGGTGGTACGGTACAGGGTCCGTAGAGGTGCTGTACTGTACAGTACATACGTTACTTACAATAGGAAATATCTGTATTGAATTGAAGTGAATAGGTAACTTACAGTACGGCTAGGGTGCTCTTCTGAGGTTGACGGGAATCTCATCCTAGGCTCCCCACACCAAGATCAGAGCTTTCATTGCAAGGGGGCGATGAAAGAAGATACACCTGAATAAGTTTCTCAACACCAAACACCAAGGGAAAGTGACAATTGCCGTACCGGTCGACCAATTCCCAAAATATCCTCGCGAGTTGGTTCACTACCACTTCAGTCTTGACGTCGACGACCTTCATTTTCTGTCATACCGACTGTTTTTGGAGTGTGCAGCCCCTGAACACGGGGCGTCGGCAGCAATGCTCACCGAAGAATTCGTCTCGACAATTTGCGGACCTCCTCTCTCCTCCAATACTGCTGTTGCAAAGGATGTTGGCATTTACTGTCATACACTCAGCCCCACCTACTCAGTCAAGTCGACATTTAAAAAGAGTTCGGTCCCAGTGAACTGCCTGGGCGTGAGCGACACACATGTCTTCGCAGCTCAGCACGAGAAAGCCTATGTGCATGTCTACTCCAGGATACGCGGGAACCAGGAGGCTTTCGTTGCCTTTCCAGAAAGGATAAGATGCCTCACGCTTGCCGGCGACGTGCTTGTCATGGGGACAACAGAAGGCCGGCTGATGCTCTGGGAGGTGAGGCTGCAATCATGCAAACGGAATCTTTGAGGAATTTGTCATGTTGACTAACGCGCCTACTACAGACATGCACTGGCCGACTAGTGTCGACTCCTGCTCGCCACGTTCAGGCAGTATCCTGCGTGGTTGCAACGCCCTACCACATCCTCACTGGGTCCGATGATTCAGATATCCACGTCTGGTCTCTTCCACAGTTGCTCGAGCTTGACTCTACCGCAGAGCACGAACCAAAGCGGAGCCTCTCTAACCATAGGGCGGCCATTATGGCGCTCTCGGCTAGCACGAATGCTAGTAGCGACACAAATTTCTGCGTGTCTGCAAGCAAGGATAAGTCGTGTATCATCTGGAACTACCAGACCGGCGACGTGTTGCGGACACTGCTCTTCCCTAGTACTCCCCTCTGTCTCTCCCTCGATCCATCTGCAAGAGCACTTTGTGTATCCTGCGATGACGGCTCGCTCTACTTGGCAGAGTTGTTTGCCTCAAAGCCCCTGTTGGGGGCCCAGTCTGAAGATGCCTCGACGGTGGAGCAGATATCCTCCCCGTTCGGCGCGACTCAATCAGATGTTGGACCCGCCTCTTGCCTGAGCTTTAGCTATGACGGCACTATGCTGCTTACCGGGCATCCGAGGGGCCAAATCTTGAGGTGGGACATAGCAGAAAACAAGTCGCCTGTAGAACTAGCTAACCTCAACGCCGCCGTCACCAATATCGCCTTTATCTCGCCATTCCCAACGCATAGGCCGACAAAGACGGTGACCATCACCAAGCCCACACAGGCGGAGCGGATATACACCTTCACCGGCCAGTTCGAGTCATACTCAGCTCCCGAAACCAGATTTGACTCGCTTCTCGGCGCAACCAGTTTCCCGCAAGACACGCTGGAGAGCGCAATAGCAGCCTTCTATCAGCCGGCTGCTGAGTCCGCCGGAGATCAGGAGTTGCAGAGGCAGAATGAGGAGCTCTGGGAGATCATCAACGAGCAGCGAGCACTCCAGAAGCAAACACTCCAGCGATACGTTGAAGCGAAGTCCAATCGGTAATAGGATAGCTATATGGGAGCCCACTCGTTATGGAACAGACCTTAAAGACCACACCTCCATCTCACTAAACCGAGTGATGCTTCATTCCCCATTTTGGACGTCTTGAAAATAGCCGAGGGCATGGACTCTGAAGCGCCGTATGGGGCCTGTTTTGGCGGTCCATTCTTGCTTCCTAATAAGATATATAAACGTTTTCTCGCAAGGGAAAGGGGGCAAGAATATCTGCCTCTAGTACTCTGCTGCTTGTTTTGGTGTGGGCAGTCTTTACCTGCGCGCTGTTAGTGCAAGCTAGATTTTGTATGTAAAAATCGGCCGCTCTACTATACCTCTTAACAGACCAAGGCATTTACATGAAGCTTGCGTCCCGCAAGCTTGATCGGCCAATATATAAGGCTCCGGCAGTTAGATGTGCTCGCATGCGAATAGACTGCTTCGGCAGGATTAGCGCTGAGAGAAGGACTACCCAAGTGCATCCATTTTGTATGAGGGTGAGGGTAATAGATATGTTGATGTTGACCAGGCATGATATTCGATCCAAACTTGCAACGGCGCTGCCTCCCTGTAAATCTTCTGTGTATATAAATCGACTATTGTCCGCAAACGAGCACATACGACCATACCTACTGGAAAGCTCGGGATCCCGTCCGCTCTCCCCTAGATAAACCAGTAAGGGCCAGATTAGTAGTTGGGTCGGTGACGACCAGCGAATCCCTGGTGTTGTATGTTTTTTTTTTGCATTTTCTGTTCATTTTCCCCCTACCTCCCCAGCCTCTGAGTCTCCTTCCCGTTCCATCGACCCCGTGTAATTCACACTACCTGTACGGAGTAGGTAGGAAGCTTTCTCAGCGAGCAGCAGGCAACGACAACTGTCGAAGACCAACGTGCAGACTGTAGCCACTTCAAGTGAGGTGAGGTGGCCCAAACTTCCAACGTTACCATGCGGGACTTGCCAAGGCCCACTAGACTACATCCAGTAAGTGGGTGGGCATTGTGGATCTGGTTCTCTCAAAGCTCAGCTCAGCTCACTTTCAACTTCCGTCATCGACCATAAGGGCTTGCACTTCATCTTTTGGCAGGTACACGCCGTTATCACCGGCCACCGCCAACGGCAGGACGTCATTCTTGCCTCGAAACAGAATCTACAACAAAAAACGACGATGCACTAATTGAACATCGGTGAACGGAAGCTGCTCAACAGCTCATGTAGCATGTGGAACAGCGCGGCATGGGATAACAGAAGATACCGGCCGATCAGCTGTAGACATCAGTTTCCTGCTCTCCACGCTATATAACCGCTATAATGCGTTTCCGTCTACTTCTATTTCGTCGAGCGGCAGTTCAAAATCCGCAGCGCACGTTTGCGCAAAGCACTGCAGCTCGCTCTGGCCTCCGCTACCGACCACAGGTTCCCTTTCTCTCGGTGCCGACTACAACCGCCGCGCGAGTCCGCTACCTGACCACAGAGCGCAAGGCACAGCTTAAATACGAAATCAAGACCGGCATCAAGTATGTAGGCTACATATGGGTTGCCGGAATCTGCGTGGTTGTTGCCTGGGTCGCTATCGGTCAGGAGCTGCTGGAGCGCCGGTATCCCACCCCACACGAATGGAGGTACATGACCCGTTATCACTTTCGCGGCGGCCACACTGCCCGCTACGAGCCGCCTCCAGGCAGGATTACCGACTGGTTGCAGGTGGGTTGGTGGGCCGAGCGCACTATACAGAGGCTTCAAGACCCTAGCATCGACGGCAAGGACGTCAAGGATGCGCCATCGGATTATCCGCCCGGGACGAAGGACGTCAGCGCTAAATCTGAGAACTGGAGGAGAGGCTACTACGAGGCCCTGATGCTCTACGCCAAGGCAGCAGAGCACATGGAGGGCTGGGTGGTGGATAAGTCGAGGAAGATCTTGTTTCCGCCAGGCGTCATGATCGGGCCGTCAAATCCTTACCCCAAGCCCCTGCCGCCGGGCTACAAGGGCGCTCCGAAGGAGGAAGACTGCGAGTTGCGATTTGAATCGCCAGATACCGTCTACCTCAGAATCCTCTCAACCGTGGGATTTACTAACCGTCAGAGAATCGAAGCTGGCCTAGCGTACGCTTCCTGGCTCGACTACAAGGGCATCACCGGCCCGGCCAGCATCATTCTCGAGGACGCAGTACACCTGGCCGCCTCTGAGCGGCATGATCTGCCCTCAGAGCCCCTGGACAACAAGTCATGGACCCTCAACGACACCGCAGGACCCCCCTCCGAGAACCTGCTGAACGCCCTTACAGCCTACGCCACCTTCCGAGCCCGTCACGGCGACGTATCATCAGCCCTGTCCATCCTCGTCTCCATCCTCAGAGCAAGGCGAAGCCTCCCTGCACCTCCCTCAACCACTTTAGCATCCACCCTCCGATCTCCAGCACCCTCAAAGACAGGTCCCTGGTCCATACTATCCGCCATTTTCACACCACCCGCTTACCCCCCGCCGCCGCCGGACGGCACCGCCCCGCCGGTGCGAGACGCCGGAGAGCTCTGCCAGGAAGCGGCGTTGAGCCTGCACATAGGCGAGATCATGTACGCCTCTTCCAACGCGTCGTCGTCGAGCAAGGAGGAAGGGCTGGCCTGGACGCGCGAGGCCGTCGACATCGCCGAGGAACAGCTCCACAAGCTGCCCGCCGGGGCGCGCGACAAGGATGCCGCCCGCGCCACCTGCCGCGAGTGCCTCGCCACGGGCTTGGGGAACTGGGCGACCATGGTGGCGCGGCTGGCTAGGGAGGAGGAGGAGACGGCCGCTGCGAGGAGGAGGAAGGATAAGGACGGTGCCGCGGCAGGGAGAGGGTGGTTTGGCAGTCTCTGGGGCGAGGGCGTGGCCAAAGCCGAGGATACAAGTCTGCCTAATCGATGGACGGCCGAGCAAAAGGTGATTGAGGAGCGCCAGAGGCGGGTAAAGGACGTATTGGAGGACTTAAAGCCGCTTCCGAGAGGGTGGCAGTCTTGGCTTACTGCGTAAAGGGGCTGAAGATGTGCCGATCAATTGGTTGTGTGTGCATGTATATCATCAGGTTTGGGGAGTTGGATGAGCATGTGTACTTTGATTCTGGCGCAGGTCTATGACGCTCGTTAGGAGTGTTTGCGGTATTGGGCGGATTGGAGGGTCTTTAAATTGCGATGTCGGTTGGCCTTGTATACATGCCAGGAACGAACCGCATGGGGAAGCAATGTATCAGATTGAGAGATCTGTCGGACTAGCTGCCACTCTGGTATGCGTTTATAGGTATCTGAGTTGCTTTCGAGGTCATCACAAACCTCGGATTACGCCATCGAGCCAACTCTTTGAGTATGCAACCCTCAAGGATGTGCTTCGCTTTACATATCCCTTAGTTCTCCACCTTCTCAATGGCGGTCTCGTCAGCGGCCTCTCCTTCCCAGGCACCCCATGAGTCCTCCCCGTTTTCAATGCAGGAGCCATCTTCTTCACCGTAAATCTCAAACATCTCGTTCTTGTATCCGTCGCCCTTCAGCGCTATTTGTTGTATCCACTTCAGCACCGCCGACTGTGTCTCAATGAGCAACATCTCGGTGAGTGCTGCGTTACCTGCGCTGTAAACGGGGCAGCCGAATGAGGTGAAGCATGCCGATTTGGGATTGCCGCCAGCTCCGGCGACCGGGTTGTCCAGCGGCATGTGATGAAGAACGTAGGCACGGCCGCGCTGTTGATCCCCCGTTAGCATGAATTCGAGATAGGGGCCAGTCGCCGCACAAGACAACATACCTCGCTCATGAACTGCTTAAACCCTTCACACTTGAAGTTGGCCGAGTTGTAAAACCCGCCCAATACCACAAGCGTGTTCATCCTATGACCAATCCTTTCCCAGACAGCATGGTCATTTAGGTATTCCTCAACTGCCTCTGCCACGTCCCCGATGGCAATGACGTCCAGCTTCGCCATCTTGTTGACTAGCGTTTCTACAACGCTTTCAAGAACGCAGGCCACGTGCTCGGCAATCGTCCTGTTCTCGGGGATCTCGTTCTTGTCCGGGTCATGGTACACCCCATAGTGCACCGCGCTGCTGAGTGGTATAGAATGGCGGCCAGTCGGCGTCAGTCCCCGTTTGCCCTCCGGCCACCACCACAGCTCGCCTGGGTTGGTGAGAATGATGCCTGGCGGGGACGGGTCGGTGGCAGATGACTGCTGGGCTTTCAGGGCCTGGACGAAACTCAGGACTGAGCCCTTGGTAATGCCGCCTGGTCCGCCGATTACCCGGTGAGCAAGGACGCCGAACTCTTGGGCGGATTCACCGAAGAGGAGGACCACGCGAGTTGAGCGGGCGTGGAGATCGGACGAGATCCGGATGGGAACATGAGGTTTCGTCTTGGGGGTGCCAAGCGGGAGGGTGATGGTAGTTAATCCTTCAGCGTCGAGACGGGAACTGATGATTTTGGCGATTGCTTCTGCAAGAGGTTCAGTTTCCTGATCAAAGGCGGCCTGTAGATTCAACCCACCGTTCATTGCAAAGCGTTGGCGCTCGTTCCATCGCTCGTTCTTGGTCAGGAAATACTTGAAGTAGTAACCAGGGTTCTGGATCGAACGAATCTCGTCAACGTCGTTCACGAAGTAACTTGAAGTAGCAACATGGTCAGTTTCGGCACGGATTTGGATCAAAACGACGGGATGGGTAAACAAACCCGAGCTCGGTGAGGTCGGAGGCGAACACCGGGTCTGCCGGGAGACCTGACCAGCGCCGACGAAACATGGTAGGCGGTTTTAGGTCCTGCGAGAGTGAGGGTAGGGGAAGAAAGCAAGAGACGTAAGGTAAGGATCAAAAGAGGGATCCTTGGATGGGTTTCAAGGGAGAAAGTCAAGGTAACTAACGATCGAGCGTAGTTCGTGGATGGGTTTCGAGGCGAGAAACGTTTCGATGGTTGCAAGAGAGAAGGGAACCGGTACGGAGTACCAGAGGGCAGTTTCCATTATACGCCGTTTTCCGTTTGCTCTTCGTTCGCTCGCAGATTCAGAGGAAGGAGCTCTGTAGGTCTACGGAGGACCTAGTGAGGTCTGCAAATCCAAGTGTTTTGCCATTCAGGCAAGTCGCCGTTTGAACACTGCATGGGCAAACGAGCATCGCGACCTGAGTCCTTGACGTGTGGTAGCAAGCATATGCAGTCAGTCCACCTAGGCAAGCCGGCGGGTGCCATATGAGCCAGGCACGGAAAACGAGCATCACAATATGATGATCTTGAGGGTCGTACTGGACGGTAACAAAGCAATAGCTGGCAAACCAAACATGTCGGTAAGATCTGACTGCATCTCAGGCTAGTTGTGGCACAACGCCTCCACCTTGTTGATTGCTCGTCTGAGACTGGCCCAGGCAAGAAAGGGACTGGCATTCTGCGTTCAGTTCGATAGCATCAACAAGTCAAGCAGCATGGCGGTCTTGGAAAGCAGAATTTTGTCCTCCAGTACACGAGGCAGCGTCCAGGCAGCGTTGGCACACATCACTCCCACCCGCCTACCGCAGTGATGCAGTCATGGAATTCGAACAGAAACCATCGCTCTTCTTCCTCACATCCGGAGCAAGCCCCAGATTGCAATGAAAAAGATGGTTCGCGTCGCCTGGAGGCAGTGTAATACCAGGGACACTGTGGCAGACGACCATGGGCAAGCCCAGAGGGAAGTCCGCCTGGTGACAAAAATTGGAATAATCACGATTCTGCTCCGTAGAGCAGTTTCAGAGATTAAACTGAAAAGAACAGATACTACACTTGATCTAAGCCAAAAGGCAAAGAGAGCTAAGGAAAAAGAGAAAAAGAGAACTGGAAAAGGCGGGAGGGGAGGCGCGATTATATACCCAGCAGGCATGGCCCGTGCCCGTTTGCAGAGCTTGCAGACGCGCACGGACCGTGTCGCAGCCTGCAATGCCAAGCATTGGCTGGATTTTGATTGATGATCGCCGGCATTTCCACACCGCCTGGCAGTATCCACGACCTCGAACTCTGGCGCATCAACCACAATCGAGTTCCGTCGAGGTCAAGCAAGATAAAGCCGACTGCTTTACAAAGGCGCACTTCATTGATTTGCGATCACGGGCTCAATTCTTTCAAATTACCGCCAAGATGTCCATGTTCAGGGCGAAGAAGTTTGATCTTGGGTGCTTTACCAATGTCAGGACACTCCGTGACCATTCCAAGCGCAAGGCTTTCGAAGCCGCTGAGCCCGAGAGGTGCGTGTCTACCTACCTACCTGCCTCTTCTGACGTCTCTCCCGTCCTCTGAGTTACTGACGACCAGCACAGACAAGCGCTCCGCTACATCATCCGCAACACAACGCTTCCTGCCCGTACACGTGCCATGGCCCAATTGCAGCTCGCCCAGATGCACTGCTACACGCGTCCCACTCAGATCCGAAACCGATGTATTCTAGGCGGAAAGTCAAGGGGTGTGCTAAGAGATTTCAAAATGACAAGAGTAAGGCCTTCTGCGTGGGAGACCAAAGTCCTATGCCCTGCTGACGTTATTATAGTACATGTTCCGCTTAAACGCGCTTGCCGGGAACTTGCCCGGCGTGAAGAAGGCGAGCTGGTAGACGAGGCTGCTAGACTCTTTGAAAGGCAAGGGTGCAGCGCTGTTGGATAGCATGTGGAATTTTTCCGGCAGCCCAGGAACAGCAATCTATGAGAAGGCTGTTTGCCCCAACAGACGCGCGGATGTTGAATCGACAGCAACAGCACCATCGACGTCTCGACGTCGGAGTCTATTCTGTGTACAATGATGTTACATTACCAAACCCATGATGAATAAATTTCCCAATGCCCTGAACTCCAAATCCATGTGGCCCAAAGCCAATCCATTTATTCCCATGTATGATGGTGTGTGAAACGCCATTCCAGAAATGTTGAAGACTTTCCTTCTTTCTGCTCAACGGTCTTTACAGCGCCTTGCTGCTCGCCCCCTCGGCTGCGAGTGCCTGGCTGAGACTCTCTGCCGACATGGCCTTCTCACCTGCGCGCTTTCTCAGGACGTTCTCAATGAACGCCTCACCGGCCTTGTAGGAAGACCGTACCAGAGGGCCACTGGCGCAGTATAGGAAGCCCAAATCGAGTGCACGTTGCCGCCAAAGCTCGAACTCTTCAGGCGTAACGTAGCGCTCAACCTTGAGGTGACGCTTAGTTGGCCGCATGTACTGGCCGAAAGTGACGACATCAACGTCAACCTTTCTCAGCTCTAGTGATGAACAAGTCAGTGATGTCCTGTGTTGTTCACAGGCGGAATAGGACCACACTCACCCCTCAATGTCTCCCAGATCTCCTCCTCCGTCTCACCGAGACCCAGCATGATACTCGTCTTGGTGATGATCCCCTCCTTCCCTCTCACCGCCTTGACATGCTCGAGCACTTTCAAGCTCTGCCTGAACGTCGCTCTCCTGTCGCGCACATACGGCGTCAGACCCTCGACCGTTTCGACATTGTGCGCGTACACATCCAGGCCACTCTCGGCGACGATCTTGACCATGTCCAAGTCGCCGCCAAAATCCCCCGTGAGCGCCTCCACCAGGAGGGTAGGCTTCTTGGCCTTGATGCGCCGGATGGTCTCGGCAAAGTGCCGGGCCCCGCCGTCGGCGAGATCATCACGGTCCACGCTCGTCAGGACGACATATCCCAGCCCCCAGCGGGCGAGCGCCTCGGCCGTGTTTTCGGGCTCGTGCGGGTCGAGCGGCGGCGGCTTGCGGCTCGTCTTGACGCTGCAGAAGCGGCACCCCCGCGTGCACGTGTCCCCCATCAGCATGATGGTCGCCGTTGCGGCCGCCTTGCTGCTGCCGCCCCAGCACTCGCCGATGTTGGGGCACCGCGCCTCCTCGCACACCGTGTGCAGGTTCAGTCCGCGCAGGTCGGCTTTGATCTTGGCGAAATTGGGGTTGGCTCCCGCCGACGGGATCGGCGTCTTGAGCCAATCTGGAAGGCGCGTGATGGTGCGCTTGCGACCGTCCGGCCCAACGGTCGCCGTCCGCGGGGCGTAGGCTTCGCTTGGAGATAGGGGAGAGGATGGAGAGGCGAGGAAGTCGGAGAAGGGAGCTACGGTGGTGTCTTTGAAGTAGGTAGGACGCGGCTTGGTCCCGCCGCTGGGATTTGTCGATGAAGATGCGGCATCTTGGTGCTGGTGTTGCTGCCGTTGGGCATCCGACGTCGAGGGAATGGTTGCATATCCCCGGGACGACAGGGCGACGGCACTCGCCACCGAGCGCCGCAGTGGAAGTTGGATCTGCCGAAGCGGGACTGGAGAGGCCATAATAATGCGCTACACCTCGTAGCTAAGGTGTAAGAGACGCCCTCGGGTTTTTCGGCGAAGACGGTGGGATAAACTCAGTGGTCTGCATCAGGAGGTGTCATCATCCGACAAAACGGTTTTCTGCGGTTCACCAGCCCGTTGTCCGCCGATGGTATTCTGGTGCCCCACTGTTACATGTAATTACCTACAAACAGTGTAATTACCCGTAGCCAATTGAGGTAACTTACTTTGCCCCACTGGCAAGGGATCCATTTGACTGCCCTCAACCCTTCTCCGCTCTCCGCGACTGACAGACTGGCTGAGCACTCGAATCCTCGATGTCTCTCTGACCTACTGCAGCCGCTCACTTGCAATACAGAATGTGAATAGAGTGGCAAGGAAATGCAATGCTAGCCAAGAAGTATCCTGTAAACCGCAAGCTGGCTCCTGCTTTCTTCAACTCGTCAACGAATCGAGAAGCTTTCTAGCTCCTTTTCTCTGACTTCCCTCACAAGCGACTCGTCCAGAGACTTCGGGGCCATCAGGCCATCGACATAGGCCGTACCCACCATTTTGTGATGATCATCATCCACTCTTCGGAGAACAAGGGGAGCATTGGCTTGAGGTCCGACTGTCAGGATGTCACCATCCGCAATATCGCGAACCCCTATTCCGAAGAAGCCGCTCTCAGTGACAAACAAGGTTTTCCCCACGAGCCATTTGACGCTTTTGCTACATGCATCCAGAGCATAAAAGGCTTTCTCGAAAGGAACGGATTCAGATTCCAGGTAGTTGGCAGCAAGTTCGTCAAAACTCTCAAGCACCTCCTCGATCGTAAAAGACTCGTTCTGCTTGTCGAACACCACGCAAGCCCATCCGAGTCGATGGATGAGTGTCCCCTGGTCTCTGATCCTCTTAAGGGGGCTGTCTCCCGGCAACGAAGCAGGGTCCGTTTTCAGTAATCCGCAGATCTGCTTCAGAACTCCTGGGCGTTGCTCGTGAAAGTGAAATACAACTTCGCATGCCCCAAGGTTCCGGGCTGAGAGGCTCAGTGTCGTCATGTCTTCGCTCACACGGGCAGGAGGTGCCTCCTCGTAAACCGACAGAGAGCTGTCAAGCACTGAGTGGCCCGGTACATGCATGTTGGGAGACTGTTTGTCTTGAGCATTAAAGTTGGGCACCCAGGAGGGGTAGCGACTGCCTGACAGCCTGTCGTCGAGCAGGGGGAAAGTGTAGTACATCTTCAGACCTTCTTCGTGGTGGATCAGGTAGACTGTGGTTTCTATGACCACTTGGTCTACCGGCTTCTTATAATCAGCCGGATACGCCTTCGCCCAGTCGGGTACCATGCCGTAGACGCCGTAGAATCTGTCGTGGGGATCATAGTGATTCAGCCCGGCAGTGGCCGACAAAAGGCGAGCCACTGGGCGAGGGGATGGCTCCAGGGAGCGCCGAATATGGGGGGCACGGGCGTTCTTCTCTGCTAGTGTGTCCTTGAACTTGGCGAACTGGTTGATAAACTCGTCCTGCTCGCCAGCTGCTGTAGTGCCTTTGTCCGTGTCGTTGTAGAGGTCCTCGATCTGGTTCCAGAGTACGTAATGTATGTCGTCCAGAAACTCGGCAAGGAGCGTGGCCCTGAATTCTATCTCCCCGCATAGGCATATGGGATCGCGTTTTGCCAAGTAGTACTCTTGGTACGTCCACATCCGAGTCCAGTAGGGCATGCTGAATATGTCTAGGAACCCCTCATACGTCCGCAAATAAGCGATCTTGCGCGCTTCCCGTCCCTTTGCCGAAAAGTCGGCCGCCAAGTTCACTTTCGCCCATGAGAGCGAGGCGGGGAGGATGGACGACTTCCATTCACGCGCCCACGACACGGCCAGCTTGATGTTAGGATTCGATGGACCCAGCCAGACAACGACATCTGCCGCGGTGGAGTAGATGTCGCTCATCAGCGGGATTTGGGTATTTTTCTCCTCCACATCCTTCTGGTTGATGCAGACGGCGTCTGCCCAGATCAGCTGAGATCTCAGTGGCGACCTGATAGCGCGGAGTGCTGCTTCAAGATTTACAGTAGCTTCAAAGGGACTGCCGTCGACTATGATAGGTTTCGTTATTGCTGCATTGCCCCAGACGTAGGAGAGCGCATTGAACGCCGGCGGCTTTCGAAGAGACACCGTCTTTAGCTCGCACTGGATCGGACTGTCGCCCTTGCCTCGCAGTAGTTTGAGAACTCTGATTTCGGGGACTTGCGGGTCAAGAGGGCTATAGGATACCATTGCTAAGGATCCTCAAACGGGAGAACAAGTGTCTAAGGCGAGGTACTTTGCAGACCAGAGAAAAGCGAAGAGTTGGGTTGAGACGGCCTTAAACATGAGGGGGTGCTCTCAACAGTTATTATGCCTAGACACGAATCCTTCGGCCCCCAAACATGGGGTAACGTACACAGGTTAACACTTAACATGTTGATATCGATGCCCGAAGCTCTCGACCAGTCTTCCAAGGCTCTCCTGTGGTAACATTGGTCTACCTACTTCAGTGATGCTGTGGTGTGTTCAGAGCTTGGTCCTGTTGGGGTTTGCAGGGAGGTAGATGAGCATACGGTGTAGGTTCTCGTTGGCTCCAGCTTGTCAATTTCGTGAGGCCGATTGGGCAGGCACCACTGATAGATCTGGTAAGGATAGTTGGTAATTACGGGGAACATACGGAGCTACAGGCGATCGGGCATCGTACTGGGTATTGTATATACATAATTTATATACCTTAAGGGTTGTACGGAGTACGATACCGGTTTGTATATATAATACGGAGTACATGATACAGTGATTACAGTAGTACCTTCTGTACCTAACATTCCTTATGAACAATAGACGTCCTCTGCTTTGCGACGCCTCCAAGATCGATCCGAAAGCCATCATGGCGTTGCACTCAAGTTCGGCATTCCTAATCGCTTGGATAGAATCGGGCCAAAAAGATCCGACGGCTCAATGCCGCTTGAACATGTATTGGATGATGATGAAACGAAGCTGTGACAGCAGCCACAAGATGCTCGTGTACCGCTTCGCGCCACACCATGGCAAAACCTCCATACGTCAATGTGTGGCAGTGTGGATGAATGGACTGGCGTTCTTTCAACTTCTTTGTGCAGCCGATCCCAAACGTAAGGCTGGTTGCGGATATCATCCAGCCAATTCTCCGCCTCATGAGTTTGTTAGAGAGGGACATCGGCATGTTACCGTAGCCATTATAAAGCCTGTTAAGGTTGGTGCTGGCGGTCTTGGCATTTTGGCTGGGGGGTCGACACAGCCGCAGTCCTGGCCAACGGACTCCGCTGAGTTACGCAAAACAAGTCGCACCCATCCCAACGCTCATCCAACCGCCAGCACCTGTCATTCCACCATTCTCTGCCAGCATCTATCGACAATTCGACATCGACACCGATATCCAGACATCAACAAAATATCGAGAATCGAAAATTGTTGAATACGCCTCGCATCGCACTTTACCCTGCGCGCTGAATTCTGAACGAGGCTTCTCGTTCTGCGACACCACTCGGTCGCGCCGATCGTTCTGCGAACCGTCAATACAAACCACACTCGACAGCGAAGATGGCTTCCGAACCGTATGACCCGTATGTCCCTAGCGGACAAGGGGGTTCTTCTTCAACGGCCAAGCTTCGAGAAGTAAGTTCAACATTCCCTTGAGCTTGTGCTTTTTGTCAGCCGGGAAGCAACACCCGATGGAGTCTTGGAGCCTCCAAATCGCAGTTCCCGCCCTCTACGAGCGATGTCGTCTTCCACATTTCCCGACCCGCAATCGTATCAATCCACCGCTGGGATTCCGTTGTATGCCTTGGGAGGGATCCTGCCACAAAGTCTCGCAGTCGTCCAGAAGCTGGTCCGGGAATCGAATGGCTGCCCGGCCCTGCTTTACCTGTCGGGTGTTTGCGCGTGTCGCTCACGGCGACCTGGGGAAATTCATCAGCAACTTCCCCATTGCCGTGACCGGAGTTCGGCAAACTTCGCGGTCGGGAGAGCTGCAGTCTTCGCGTCGGACGCGACCGCTTCATTTATTCAAATCGGTGCTCTGTTGCGCTCTTCTAGGAATTAAGTGGCTGACTTGTCTCAAGGAACTTGACGCAGCCACAGCGGAGGCCAGATACAACGTCCAAGCGCTTGCCCAGCGAGGCGAAATGGTGGATTCATTGGCAGACAAGACAACTGGTTTGGCTCAGACATCCAGCCTTTTCAACCGCAGTTCCAATAAACTTCGCAAGGCGGAATGGTATAGAGTATGCAGACCTGCCGTTACCCACGTTCTGTTCGCAAATATTGACCGTTCTACAGCACCAGCGAATGAAGGTCTTGCTGGCCGTCGGCATTATTGCGCTTCTCGCCATCATCATCATCCCAGCAGGTTAGTGCCGTAATACCAATCCATCGTTTGTGAGTGGGAAAATACTGACGAGGAGGTTATCAGTGGTCTTTACGCGTAAATAATGTCAGTTATGATGACGAAGGAATGGGTGGATCTGGAAGTGGCGGAAGTGGCGGACTGAACTTTGCACTTGATCAGCATTCGTGGGAAAGGAGAACTGGGCTCGTTTGGGACTTTGATTTTCTGGGAGTTCTTTTTTGTAAGCCCCCTTGAGGGGTTCCGGTGTTGGAGGGTTTCACTCAGTCGTCGCCTTGGACCTCTAATGCCGACGCTGACATCTGTAACTACTTGTGACGAAGAGAAGCGGTTTCCCCGATACAGCCAATTCAGGTAGCAGTTTACATCAACAAGCGTTTTCACCTTCCATGTGGTTGGGAAATAGTGCACTCCACAGCTCGTCGAAACGCCTTGGTCCCATCATGTAGGTACGGAGTACACGAACTTCGGACACTTGGAGCGAGCCCAACTTGAGAAGGAGTATAGGTAGAGAAGGGAGATAGAGGTTGGGCCAAATTGCATTTGACAAGACACTGCACCCTTACTTGACGATGTGTTGAGTCGATTCAGTAAGACCATCATACTATCGAGTCTTGACTTCCTCTTGACCCTCTTGGTGAATAACCACCTCACCATTTTGGCCTTGTGTTGCAGCGATCTGATAAGATATCTCCTGCTCCACGTTTGTGGACTTGCTTTTGTTGGAGCGTGGGGTTGTAGCTTGGCACTGCAGGAAGTTAAAGAAGACACTTTCAACAGGTAAGATCTTTCCCTGCATAGATGCCGGTGATGGCCTGATTTGGGACAAATGATGTCTTTGGGAAGTGTCAAGGACGGGCATTGGCCTCTTATCGTAGACGGTTGCAAGAAGGACGTATCTCAAAGCCAGACAGTGCTCGTTTCTGGTGCGGGCCGAAGTCGCTCGGCAACAGCTGCATGCTTGCGGTTTCGGTCTCAATTTTTCTAGCCCTTGGTTGCCCCTCCACCTTGCTTGACCGACACTTGCAGGGCCAAGATTTAAATTCCTGGACAGCACCCGACTGCGGCCTGCTTTTAGTAGAGATTTCGTGCCATTGACCGTTAGCAAGGCGTCCCGTGTCTTCCCTCTTCTGCTACCTGGGTTTGAATTACCGTCAATGGTGGGCACCTTCGTTGCAATTGACTCATCCGAGGTCCAGTCGCGTTGCAATTCCCTAGTCAACCCCCCTCGTTAATTCGGCTGTTCGTCTCTTGAGGAAGCCTTACCGGTCCGCTTCCCTCTGATCTAGTCCGCTCCCTCCACCCCTTTGCGCCGGCCGGCTCCTAGATCCTGCTTGACGAAACGGCCGCTGCAACCTCCAGTAATGCTCTCTGCCTGTGCCGTTGCCCTCAGGGCGGGCGCACGCCGCAGCGTGCGCCGCTTGCCCGGCAAACACCGTGTCGCTGCCGTTCCGACGGCTCTACGCCGCCAACAACCATTTTCGTCATCTACAGCCCGAAGCACCGATCTTAGCACGAGGGGCATGATTGTGCAAACTCTCTCGTCCGTGGGGTCCAAGCGCGAAGTCCAGCAGTACCTGTCGTTGTTCACGTCAGTCTCATCACAGCGCTTCGCCGTAATCAAGGTTGGCGGCGCCATTCTAACCGACTACCTCGACGAGCTATGCTCAAGCCTGGCCTTTCTCTACACCGTCGGCCTCTCCCCCGTCATTGTTCATGGCGCCGGACCCCAGCTCAACAGCCTGCTGGAGCAGGCCGGCATCGAGCCTCAATTCGAAGAAGGCATCCGAGTGACAGACGCCAAAACTCTCCGTGTTGCTCGCGACCTGTTCCTGCAGGAAAACCTCAACCTGGTGAACAAGCTGGAGGAGAAAGGTGTCCACGCACAGCCCCTGACTACTGGCATGTTCAGGGCTGAATATCTGGACAAGAACAAGTGGGGATACGTTGGAAAGATTACGGGTGTCAACAAGCAGTCAATTGAAACCGCCATCAATAACGGCTATCTCCCCATACTTACCTCGATGGCCGAGACCGACGACGGCCAGATTCTCAACGTCAACGCCGACGTCGCTGCCGCCGAGCTGGCCCGTGCGCTGGAACCCCTGAAGGTAGTTTATTTGTCCGAGAAGGGGGGGTTATTCGATGCTGCTGGGCAAAAGATCTCAGCCATCAACCTTGACGAGGAGTATGAGCACCTCATGTCGCAATCCTGGGTCAAGTATGGCACCAGGTTAAAGATCAAGGAGATCAAGGAGCTACTGGATACTCTGCCACGGGCAACCAGCGTCGCCATCATTCACCCCGGGGAGCTCCAAAAGGAGCTCTTCACTGATTCTGGAGCCGGGACTCTCATCCGCCGCGGGAACAAACTGCTCTCGGCCACCAGCCTCTCCGACTTCAAGGACATCGAGGCTCTGAAAACGGTCCTGATTCGTGATCGCGAAGGCCCAGATGCGATGGCAACTGTGGAAAAGTATCTTGACTTTTTGGCCGAAAACAAGTTCAAGGCGTACTACGATGGCCCAATGAATGCCCTTGCCATCGTCATACCGGCGAGCCACGGGCGCCAGGCTACACTTGCCACACTGACCATCACCAAATCTGGCTGGCTTACCAATGTCGCTGACAACATCTTCACCGCCCTTCGAAAGGAACATCCTCAGCTTGTCTGGACCGTCAAGGAAGACGACGAGAATCTTGGCTGGTTTTTCGACAAGGCGGATGGCAGCGTCACGCGGAACGGCGATGTTATGTTCTGGTACGGCATTGAAAATGGCGACGAAATTGTGCAATTGATGAAGGACTTCACTCAGAATGGCCGAGCGATGCTTGGGGACTCTAACCTAGAATCCAGGCTGCATCGTGCTGCTAAGAACGGACAGAGGTCTTCGGCGCCGCAAGCTCAGCAGGCCCGAGGCTACTCAACCCTCGCCCGCCGTCCAATCCTCTCAGCTCCCATCTTCGGGCAGGCTGGCAAGAGAGGATATGTTACCCAGACCAACCCTAACCCACCATATGGAAAGAAAAACGCATCGCGATCTCAACCCGCCCGGGTAGCACTTATCGGAGCTCGTGGCTATACGGGCCAAGAATTGATTCGTCTGATCAACTCGCACCAGAACATGGACCTCCGTCACGTCTCATCTCGCGAGCTTGCTGGCCAGAAGCTTGAGGGCTATGACAAGCGGGAGGTCATTTACGAGAATCTGAGCCCCGAGGATGTCCGGGATATGGAGAGTCGGGGCGAGATCGATTGCTGGGTCATGGCTCTGCCCAACGGCGTGTGCAAGCCCTTTGTCGAGGCGGTTTGGGAGGGCCGCAAGGCGTCAAACCACAAGAGCGTCATCGTGGATCTTTCGGCCGACTACCGTTTCGACAACGCATGGACCTACGGCCTCCCCGAGTTAATCCAAAGGTCGGCAATCACGCAAGCCACTCAAATCTCGAATCCTGGCTGCTACGCCACGGCCGCGCAACTTGGCATCGCGCCCCTCGTGCCTCATCTTGGCGGAATGCCCCACGTGTTCGGCGTCTCCGGGTATTCGGGCGCCGGGACCAAGCCATCTCCCAAGAATGATGTCAATCTTCTTACCAACAACATTATGCCGTACAGCCTGACGGGCCACATCCACGAGCGTGAAGTAAGCAGCCAGCTGGGCGCCCAAGTGGCATTCATACCTCACGTGGCCGTTTGGTTCAGGGGTATCCATCTCACCATTTCGATCCCCCTGAACCAGACTATGACCTCACGCGACATTCGCCAGATCTACCAGGACAGATATGCCGGTGAGAGACTCGTCAAGGTGGTTGGGGAGCCGCCCCTGGTCAAGGACATTAGCGGGAAGCACGGCGTCATGGTTGGTGGCTTCGAGGTGGACAAGACTGGGAAGCGGGTTGTGGTTTGCGCCACCATCGATAACCTATTGAAGGGCGCTGCCACCCAATGCTTGCGTAAGTATTCTCCGTTGCGAACATCTAGTTGTATCTCGGCTTCACTAACACTTGGCCTAGAAAATATGAACCTTGCCCTGGGATACGCCGAGTACGACGGCATCCCTGTTGATTAATGACTATCCCTACCACGACCGTACATATCATTCCTGCTTTGAGGGTTATCCACCTGGACGGTGCGGTTCATTCTTGTTTCTTTTCTGTCTACATCTTTCCTTTGCCAAGGAGTTGGTGGCGGAGATCATTTACAATGGGTTCGTCTATGTGGCAGTTCGCGAATTGTTCATTGTCTTCGGAGGCGGCCGGCTTGTACATACGATGCCAGTAGCCGAGAAAGAGAGTAAGTGAGCAGAGGTATAGGGTTTCTGAGACTTGAGTTTTCGAATAGGGAGAAATCCATAGACAGATGATCGATCACTTGCGCCGTTGGTGAAACCTGGAGTGAAACGACGGCTATCCTCCTCCTTCCTGACCATGCTGGTGAGATTTGCGCTTCTCAATTCTTCAGCAATATCCATCTCTGGTAAGGACTGGAGGCTTGTCGAGGTTAGCATGTTTCGTCTTGTCGTATCGATCCCTTTCAGAACATGTAGCAGTTCCCAGCCCGTATAGGCCTAAACGGCAGTTGTGCTTCTCCCTTCTTGAGACCGGTCAGCATTGGCTTGGTGACGAGATCAAGAGGGTCAAGGGGATGGTGTTCAACAAGTCTGTTTGCGGCCTCTTTTACCCAGTTCTCACCGTTCACCTCGCTTCCGGTTCATTTGCGCTCTCTTGGAGTGGGATGTCTGACTTCTTGCAGTTGTTCCCCCAGTTCTCCATCTCCTCGTCTGCGGATGTAAGTTGCTAGGAGTGGTAAGTGTGTAATGATAATACATCTCTTGGATACAGAGGCAGCAAGCCTGGATGCTGATCGTAGATCGTAGGCCCATCTGGGCCATTCTTGGCATGCATGTGGGTGGCTAGCCCAGTGTCTCTCGCCCGTTCTCTCTCACCCATTCTCTTTCGCCCAATCTTCTTCCCAATCTTCCTCGTGTACGGAGGTTGGGGCCAAAAGTCATCACCCGGTTCTGTTAGCGCGAGGGGCCGCCAACGTGTGAGGAGCTTGAAAGAATGCGACCGCACTGTATTTTCGTTGGGCTTAGCGGCTGATCCCGAATTCCGCTGATTGGCTACCGCACATGAAGCCCTGCGAAACGGGAGCCATGCACTATTCCTACAGTGGCCAGTGGCACGTAGCTGGCAGGGCTGTGCGAGCCTTACTGTATCGAGATCTTGGTAGTCTTGGCCAATAGAACTGGGTGATGACTTTTGGCCCAAACCTCTGTAATCTTCCTTG